CTGAGGTCTTCCAGGCATCTTCGGAAACCAACTAGCTGGGAACTGGCTTCTTAACCGCAAACTTTCAAAACAGCAACCTTCCAACAAAGTAGCACCAGCCAGTTTCCCCCGAGAGAGAGTGTGCCTCTCGCAGCGGCGGGCAACTAAACAACGAAGCTATCACACGCGCTGCTCCCCGCTCGAAAGATCGTGCTTTCCGGAGCTCCACTCCGTCTGCACTGTTCTGCGAACTGCGACTCTACCGGAGTTGACCCAACCTACCTGCCTCCCCACCTTTTCCCGAACAGAACCTCGCAGCAGCACTACCTTCACCTTCCCACCCCCGAAACCTCTACTTTGTCGTGGAGTTCGTTCTGTATTCCGTGTTGTTGACTCAGTCGGAAGGGGGCCGTATGACAGTGGACAGACACCTCAACACGGCTTGCCAAACTGTTGACCCCCTTCCTTCGTTCATGGGGCGCTATCCCCCCTTGCTTGTGCGAACTTCCTATCCCAGCTGTGGCCTCTTGTCCCCCCTGTGGGGGCTGCAACACTTCCACTGTAGACACCAACGTAAAGACACCAACTTCCCTGAGAACGTGACCCCTTCGGGAGCAAGGTGCCATAGGCTGCATACCTTCGCCCTCACTCGCTGACATGTAAACAAGAAGCTTCCAGTAGAGGGACATGATAGAAGGACATGCACAACAAGCAGACAGAACCCCCCTGATCGTTAAGTATCAGTCGTCGTTGTCAAGCGAGCTTGGGCTCGTGAAGGCTCGTCTTCTACGGCCCCTGCGCTCACTTGGGACTGTTTTTGAGTCCCTCTCAGGTCTTGGTGCGGCTGATCGTGTAAAGGGAGCTGTTGAACTGGCCGCCCCACTTGTCAGGTCCATGAGCGTCTCTGCTGCCCCCTCGTCTGCGTAGGGGGTCCCCCTGAAGCTTTGGCCCCCCTCGTCTCCATTGCCTGTTAGTTGTGCGGGACGACCTTGTTCAGGTTGGGTTGCTTCGTCATCGCTGCTGAGGAGTTGGACTGACTCTCCTCAGTGGGAGCGGATCCAGTCCCCCAGATGTGTGAGCGCGTTGTTCCCCAGGTCCCGCATGTCCCCGTCGAGGAAGGGGATGAGCTGGCGCAGATAGCGTTGCGCTTTGTAAATGTGTAGGGCATCTGGTGGGTCTTGGCGAGGATGTTGAACTTGTTGGTGCCGGTCCTCTTGCTGGGCTATAGCGTCCGCTGGGTGAACTTGCTCGGCTTCTCCTCGATGCGGATATATCCCCACTAATACCCCCACTCCTGTTGCTGCTTCATCCAGGAGGTTGCGTAGTCTTGGGAGTGCGTCCCCCACGTCTGGTTGAGCACGTTGGAGTTCCCCCACATGGTCTGTTGCCGTGGCCACTGTCAGCAATGCCAGTGCTTCTTCTGCTGCGTCCGTTGCCCAGTGGGTAACTTGCCAATTGTAGCTGTGTCTCCCCCTGGTAAGAAGCGCCATGCCCGCTTGCCTCTCTCTCTCTTGCTTGCTTGCTACCGGCTTCGAAGGAGCACACCCGTAAGCGCACCCCTCCACGCCTTGCGCGCAGCCGTGTTCTCGGTCTTCCAAAGCATGCCGTTTCGTATCCCCGGCTCGGTTCAGTTAGGGCCCCCCTAAGTTTTGACAATCATCAACGAGGCGACCCCAATGGCAAGTAAAGCCCCCTTCGTCACTCTCTCTCTCTCTCTCT